ACTTTCACAAACACATTACAAAATCCCATGGAGTTGGAGGACTACAGTTTAAGAAAAATTGCATTACCTTGACCTGGGTACTAAAATTTTTAGTGTTCCTACTGATTACTTGTATATTTTTGCAAAATATTTGTATCCATAGCTAACTATATTTGATGTATGCTATTAAAAGCTTCTAACTAGGTTCCTACATACAAATCAATTTTTTTTTCTATTTTATCTGAAAAACAAGTAAAACAATGAAACTGTATTTGGGACAAGACTGTCTCGAAGGCGGAATCACTTTGATGCTGAAGGCAGGTCTCATTCTCCTATCTTCTTTGATATCGCTGCTTTTGGGTGAAATCGTTCAAACTTCGCCAGCCACAACCACGAAATTGTCCATGATGCATCTTCAATGAAATGAACCTATCTAATCTCAAAATTTCTCTCCGTTGCGTGTCGGTCCAGGGCAAATTTTTGTTGATGCGTAACGAAAAGTTCCCATTTTTGAAAGAAATAATCGTGGCTATTGTATCGTCCANAAATAATTTAAGATTTATATAATTATATTTATTATATTATTTTTTCCTCGTATTTTAGTGTATAAGAGGGTTTTATTATAAGCAATTGTTATAGTTATAATGTAATATAGAACCAAATAATGAAGAAATAAACTAATGATACGATTTTAATTGGTTGCTTCTCCGACAAAAACAAAATCATGTAGCAATTATTAATCTTGCAAAAAAAATTATTTTTTACAACATAATTTATATTAAAAAACAATTTTATAATAATAAAATATTATATTATAATTTATTTTTCATTCTGATCATTAGTTTGGTTTAAAATTAATTTAAATAAATAAACTACAGTTTATTTTATTTTTATAATTTTCTTCTTATTATATAATCTAAGTAAAAATTGTAGTTATATACACTAATATAACTTTTTTATATAATATAATATTATACAGAAATATATTCTTAAATCGATTATAAATAATGACAATAGAAAAATAGTTAATGGAGTGTTACAGCTTGTAGAATTGAAGTTCAGAAATGGATGCAATGTATAATAAAACTTTAAGAATTAAATTTTACACTGGCTCTTTATAATCACCCTGTTTTATAACTACATTAGAATAGACTTGACTCAAAATGGAGTCGATCAGCATGAGCGGCGGCTTATGCATCAATTACAGTTAAGCGTTTTTTGAAGATACTACTGTTAATATTTGGATTTTAAGTACATTTTAATTGTAATTTTGTACTCTATTATATTATTTTAAATCGAGTAATATATAAATATTTTTCTTGCAAATCTTAATATGAATTGTCCATGAAAAATCATAAGGATTCGGATTTGATTCGAGCCGGGATTCAACAAGGTATTACTAAAAGGGATTTTAGAAATATATTAAACTCGAAACTATAATGAAGTAGTTTTAAGTATACAGTAATTAAAACAATCATGAATCAAAGAAAATGTATGACTCAGAGTTATTTGCATTTTGTGCCATCACGCAAAGAAATTTCGATTTCTCAAAATTATTTTATGGCATCGTATCCTGATAAATGCCACAAGCAAAGAGAAAGAAAAGTAAATTATTAGTAAATAAACTAGATAAGTATTTTGTACAACATGTACAAGCGAGAATCGGAGATGTTGCTCTTCATTTCGAGGAACATCTTTGAATCTGAAAAATTTTCATTACAGAGATAGTAATTCACTATAGAAATACGTTGATTCTTTCAAAACTGTATGAGAAATATTATACTTCAACTGTTCGGCCGTCGATTACGAAATTCCAATCGTGCTATCCAATGATCATTTGAAATTTTCACCGTATAATTATGTAGAGGTAATATTTTACACAATACATCTTAATGTATTGTGTAAAATATAGTGTAATTGACAGTGGCGTACCGTGGGGAGGGCGGCAGGGGCGGCCCGCCCCGGGCGGCACTTTTTAGGGGGCGGCAAAATTACGTCTTAGGGGCGGCAAAGCGAAACCTGTTGACCTTTTTTTTTGCTTGTACGATTCATTCGTGTTAATATCCACCGCTAATATCCAATATAGCTATTTTGAACAGGTCGCTGCACTACCTCCGAAATTTTCATTGCTTGTTCTGTGACAAACTGAATTTTGGTCTTATAAATTGAAATACCTAAAGGGGCGCCGGAATTTTCCTCCGCCCCGGGCGGCTGACACCCACGGTACACCACTGTTCTCCTGATTTATTCCTAGCTGACTACTTCCTCTTTCTCAAATTGAAATTGAAGCTGAAGAAGAATTGTTATTATGATGTGAAGCAAATCCAAATCAACATGACAAAGAAATTGAAGAGCATTGCAGTTCCAGACTATTAGAGTGTCCTGAACAGGCCGAAGCGCCATGTAAAGCATTGTGTATAGCTGGAAGGAATGTATCTTGAAGAATAAATTGAGATATTGATTAAATAAAGGCTTTTTGTGTTTTTTTTAAAAGTCAAGTCCTAAAACTTTATAGCCATACTGTGTATAATGTATTTATTGTTATTTGTGTATGTTATTTTTATTCTGAGAATTCAAGGACTTTCACAAACACATTACAAAATCCCATGGAGTTGGAGGACTACAGTTTAAGAAAAATTGCATTACCTTGACCTGGGTACTAAAATTTTTAGTGTTCCTACTGATTACTTGTATATTTTTGCAAAATATTTGTATCCATAGCTAACTATATTTGATGTATGCTATTAAAAGCTTCTAACTAGGTTCCTACATACAAATCAATTTTTTTTTCTATTTTATCTGAAAAACAAGTAAAACAATGAAACTGTATTTGGGACAAGACTGTCTCGAAGGCGGAATCACTTTGATGCTGAAGGCAGGTCTCATTCTCCTATCTTCTTTGATATCGCTGCTTTTGGGTGAAATCGTTCAAACTTCGCCAGCCACAACCACGAAATTGTCCATGATGCATCTTCAATGAAATGAACCTATCTAATCTCAAAATTTCTCTCCGTTGCGTGTCGGTCCAGGGCAAATTTTTGTTGATGCGTAACGAAAAGTTCCCATTTTTGAAAGAAATAATCGTGGCTATTGTATCGTCCATCCAAAATTATTTTTTTATTTTGCACAAACAATATACAGTTTAACCCAATTATAATGTCATCAAATGTAATGACAACCCTAATATAACGTCAAATTTTTATCGGTCTACGATTTTACTATACTAGATAATGTTAAAGAAAACCACTTGTAACGACATAAAACTGTTTTAATGTCATATTTGAAGCACTCCCAAATTTACAAAATTAGATTACAAATTTTATTTAACATAGAAGAAATTACGTGCTCAGTCCTAAGGTCAGAGTTCACTTCTTAGAATGACTGTGGGTGGTACTCTCCCCCACCTGACTTCGGTGGGGTGAGGTACCTGTTTTGTCTGTAGAAGAGGGTCGCCATTTTATATTTTATTTTGACTCATTATCGGTCCCCCGACTACTTACAAGTCTGGATTTTCTTATGCGCAAATGATTTGGGCACCTAATACTATGTGCCAAAAATCAACTCTCGACATGTACTCCTTCATACCTCTATGCTGGTAAGAAAATCAGGCAGTATGATTTTATAAACAAGACATAGTCTTGTCAATAAAGTATGGTCAGCAGATTGTAAAAACACTTTCAAGGAACTACTGACCAGTTTCAAAATCCTGAAACTAACTGATTTGAGATTACAATAATTATAACTTAAAAATTCAGGGAGGATATTTTAGATATAAACTTTTTATGAAATTTTATACAATGAAATCACCATTAAACAGACACTCTTGAATAGCAGACACCTCTACTTAAAGGACATTTTTACAATCCCCAGACCCTAAAAACACAACATATATTCACCTCTAGGGTAGATACACTAAACAAACAGACACTGTTATCCATAACCTACCCTTACAAAAGCATAAAGTCCCGCCTTCAATATTCTGAAATAATTAATTACGTACAAAATATTTTAAAACTAAAACAAAGAATCAGTTCAAATATTTTTTTAAAAAAAGAATTTTGACCATAGGCATCGAATAAAGACAGGCTAAAAATAGGAATAGAGAAGGAGGGCAAATTGTAAAAAGCCAAATAATATTTATTGTGTGTTAGAGAAGACTAATCTAGTTAAGTTGTCAATCACCATTTATTGTCATACATATTAATGTTATTAAACTTGTCTTATTGTTGGAATTAAGCTTATGATGCCGAGAAACTGTAAACTTTTCTGAAGTTTTTCATTATTTGACAAGAACTGTAGTACAGTAGTAATGAAAAAGAATCAGTTTTAAGGTTAAGACAACAGCATTTATTTGGTAAAGTTCAAAGATTATGTTACAAAGGTAATTTGCTGACCACTTTAAAGTGTAGGAAGGTATTCAGTTTTATGGAATTTATGATCTTAACAGCTTTGTGGTGACTAAAGAATTTTTAACACATTATGTTTTGAAAAAAACAAATGTCCAAAAAATTACATCTACTTGATAACTACAAAGCAGACAAATCATTATATTGTTTTCATTAGTTGTTTAGATTATAAATGACATCATGAATGCAAGAATATTGAATACATTTCTTATCCCTTGAAATGACTAGCAAATTGCCTTCATAACTCGACATTCAAACTCTCATTGCCTAAACCCTTCTGTTCACAATAACAGTTTCATTTTTCTTTTTTGTTACTTCCACTCAGGTCATTTTGATGAATTAATAATTAATCAATCTTTTATTGTAATTTTTATGTCCATTTATTAAAATATCATATACAATCTGTTATTTGGAACTCAATTAAAATGTGATTCTTACAGCTGAAAAGATTAATATAAATAATATATTGCACATATGTTTNTTCATTAGAATTATTAATTTTAAATTATAAAAAATAAAAACTGTAATCCTAAAAGTAAACACATCATTAGGTGATGTATTAATCATATATAAGGCTATAATTAAATATTACGAACCATTTCTTTATATAGATATTTTATGCATTCCTGATTATTTATGTATCTTGTGTTCTATTTAGTATAGTTTAATTAATTGGCTTGTTCTAACTATTTCTGATAATGCAAAGTAACTATATATATATATGACATAATTCAGTACTTACCCAAAGATAATAGGTTAACATAAGTGCAAAGATTGCAATTCCTTCATTATCATAGCTTCCAGCAACAGAGCGACTGATATAGCCTGGCACTAAATAATCAAATCACATTTTAATATTTTGTAAATATTATTGTAAAAATGAATAGATAATTCATTACCTATAGCTATGAAACAGGCAGCAAACAATCCTGCACCTTCATTCCACAATTCTTTAGTTAAAAAGTATGTTGCTAATGCAGTCATTCCACTAATAAATATAAGCAGAGTTTAGAATCTTTTGTACTGCAAATTTAAAAGTAAAAAAAAAACTACCTGAAAATTGGAGCTAGAAACACACAAATGTCTCTTATATGTACTGGTGTGTTTAAAAGATTGAGAATGTAATGAATAGAGCCTGATGTAATCATTAATCCTGGATATACCTGTTAACATAAAACAATTTACTAAAATGTATATTAAATACATTACTCTATTTTCAAAAATTATTATATATTGTAAATGCTGAGACATCTAGAAATTTGAGCACTGTTTTTGTACTTACCGTCCCTCCAACAATTCTTCCCAATGGATACCATGCTCTTTCATCGAACCAATTCAGAAAATTATAAAAGCCACGTTTTACCATGTAATGCGTAGCACGATAATTAAACCTAAGTATATAAAAAAGTATTATAAAGTAAATTTGAACAAAATTGATTATTATATGTAAATGTTCAAATAATCAATAGTATATTAATAATGTACTGGATTTAAAAAAATCTACTGTGGTTGATATCTGTGAAAAATAATTTTTAACACAAAATTAAAGGTATCAATAGAATAAAAATGTGTGTTAAATAATGAATTAAAACAAAACAAATGTTTGCAAAGTCCTCTGTATTGAAGAAGAAGAACGCCAGTTACAGGCAGTGAAGTTGGGGAATTTATTATTAGATAATTCACTTACCTGATTATAGAATCGAAACCATAGTGATGCCTAATAACAATAGACATGGACCATGCATTTGAAAGATTAGATCACCAGTTTATGACGAACGTACTAAAAAATTAGATTTAGGAGAAAAAGTAATTAAAACCATCGAGACTTGCTACACAAAAATGAGTAGCACAGTACTATTAGACAGATGTTTCAGTGACTTAACAGACATAAACAAGTCAGTCAGACAAGGGTGCCCCCTGTCCATGCTACTTTTCGTAACTGCAATAGACACACTAATCAGAACAATAAAAGAAGACAAACACATAGAATGTCTGCAAGTTCCTGGAAGTAGAACTGTAACAAAGGTAATAGCGCATGCAGACGACTTAACCTGCATTTGTACCATCAAAAAAAGTATAAGACGACTAGCTCAGTTACTGCAACACTTCAAAACAATATCAGGATTAAAGGTCAACATCTGAAAGATGGTCGAAATCAAATTAGGTGGCTGGCGAAAGATACCAATATATCCGCACAACCAAATCAAATGGAAAACCGAAGCAAAAATTCTGGGTATTCCTTTCAGTGAGGTTAAAGAAACCTTAAAAAAAATTTGTCCCGATAATCGAATAATGTAAATAGTAAAAACATCAACCTGAGAGGGAAAGCCTTAATATTTAATACACAAATTTGCTGCAAGATCCCATTTATGGCAAATTTTATCCCAATTTCCCACAATGTAATTAAAAAAAAATTGAATCATTAGGCTTTAAAACATTAATATGGAATAACAAACCAGACAAATTAAAAAGACACATAATGGTTAACAAAATACAGGACTGAGGAATAAACATGACCCATCTGGAGACAAAAATTAAAGCTCAAATTCTCAATCATTTAAAAGAACTAATTCTGGGAGACAATAAGCTGTGAACACTAAGCCACATACTGGATAGGAATGAAATTACAAAATAGCAATAAATCCTTAAACTCAAATCTAAGAGCGAGAAGCTGGATACCATCATCCTTCTATCAGGAAGCATCCAAAATATTTACAGAATTCATAAATGGGCAGACAGACACAGACTGGGAGAAAAGTAATACCAAGTCCCTCTACCACCCCTTAAGCCCATAACCCGAGTTATCTCGGGCAAGTTACACAGCGTTACATAAAATGCGGTCCTTAAGGCCATTTTGAATTTTTTTTTTTTGAATTTTTGGAATGTTTTTTAAGTCTCCAAATTTTTTCAAAATTTTTTCCCATGCAAAAAAATTTTATCGCGATTTTAATTTTTAATGCGCACAATTTACGCTTAATTGCTTTTTAATAGTTTTTTAATGGGAGTTTGATAACAAATTTAATTCATCATTCTAAAGTTGCAGAGCACGAATTTTCCTTCGGTAAAGTTATTTAAAGCTACTTTCTGATGTCAAAAACGACCTCTGATAGTTTTTTAATTTTTTTAATTAATAGATTTTATTATATATACGTTTAATTAAGTCAGGGGTCAGAAATCGCAATAAAAATTTTAATTTTTTAAAAATATTTTAAAATATACAGCCAGCTAGTATTCACCCTACTATAAACCCATCGCCTCCCAAGACTTCTATGAGAATGTCCCAGGAAATACAACTCCAGCTGTGTAAACAATGACTTATCAGTGTCAAATTTCACAGAAAGACGAGACAAACGAAAATAAAATTTGAAGCTTTTTCTTCAAAATTAACGCATTTCTTTCATTTTTTTTTCATTTTTAAGTATTTTTAAGTATTTTTTATGTTTAATTACATTAATATCAAAAATGTCTTCGTACGTAACGGGTTAAATAGAATAAAAGAAGAACCACATATTATAAAAAAGTATATTATACACTGTCCCAATTCAAGGTACTGGAGGTGCTTGAGAATTTTAAAGCATATATGCTTTAAAAATTTCAAGCACCTCCAGTATTTTGAGTTGGTAAGTGTTTGCCATTGTTCTAATCAATGTGTAGCTTGTTGTAAATCACATTCAATTTCAACAGCACCTGCATATGTTGAGGGCATTGGTTTGCCTCCCTTTACATTAGCTTTGTGCTCCATTATGCTCTTTCTGAGGGACCTCATGATAGAATCTATATAGATTAAGTCTCTCTGGAACTGTTCATCTCTTAGTATCCTATAGACAACCGGCACTCTGCTGGAGTCGATCAGATCTTTCTCATTTCTAAGAAGCTTAAACATGTGGGGATTACATCAAGTTAATCAAGTACCCACATACAATGCAATTTCCTTATATATATTATGCATGCGACAATCATAAGCCACAATCCTATGCTGAGAAATAAGTTCTTGTACTGTTGAATTATCAATGCGAGCAGTGGTGATATTCGAAATATTTAACAAAGGGTTCACTGAGAGAAAATTTTTCCTTAACAATTTTTTTTTTGCTCAAATGGTGCATTAGCAACATTAGCACAAAAACTGACCTTAAGATACCCATATAAACAAAAAAGATATATATTACATGCGATGATAAAACTGACATAACTACACAGTAAGTCACAAACACCGACAAACAAAATGGAAGTTTTGTCTAGAAATAAATACAATACTTTTTCTTGCGATATATCTAATAATAGACAGATGTCATCGTCTCTCGAAATACAATATCTTTTTTATTTTGCTGTCGATAGCCTGACACGCGTTCTGCAGCCATCTTGTATTTTCTCACATGCGTGGGATTGTGGGATCTCTCTTATGAGTGGATCTAGTTTCAAGAACTCCCGAGTCAATCGTGATTGAAATGGTCAAGGGAGGTCACACCAAGGTGAACGGGGTATAAGGCTGTAGTTTAGTAGTGTTACAGAGTATAATATGTATATTTTAATATATCTTTTAAAAGAAACAAAACCACTGAGAAACGTTACGTGTGTTTAACAAGGTTTGGAAAACTTTGAAAATGTGAACAATGGGTTTGGCTGAACCTGTGCAAACCCGCTGAATATCACCACTGAAAGCGAGCATCTCTGGGTACGCTGTCTAGTCACATTCCTTTCATTTCCTGTCTGTATGCTAACTGATAGATCAAGCCTTTAGAGTAGCCATGCACAATAGCAATGTCAATGTCTGCAATGCAACTCATCTGTTTTAGTGACTTCAATCCTATACAAATGAGTACGTTCTCTTCATAAGGGCTCTAAAGGCCACTATTTTGTAGTTAAAGGATCATTGGAATTGGCCAGTATATATAACAGAATAAAGTCTTGTTTATGATAGATCTTCATGTCAAAGTTCTTGTCATTGCAAGAAGGTCTATATCAAAGAAATGTGCACTGTTCTCACTAATTCGGTCCAACTGCAAAACCACTCCATATAGGTTGTTGTTCTTAGCTTTCCAAATAATACAAATGTCATCATTGCATTGCTTATAAATAGCAACTTGCAATAGGAATTTAGGAACAACCTTGGCTTCCAATCATCATCTGACCATTTTGTGCAGGCCCCCAGATAATGGGCTACCCATGGGGACTCCTCTCTTTTGCAGGTATATGTTGGTATCCATCATTTAGCAACAGGTGTACAAAGCAAGTGAGATAACTCCAGAATTTGTTGATGATTTCTTGCTTAGCAACTAAAAAAAGGACTGATGGTTTTACCTTTTGTGAAAAGTCGTATTTATTAAATCCTGAAAGATGTTGCTTCAACAACTGAAAAACTAAACAAAAAAATATAAATATGTTCAAATTTGTTTTGATTTATGTCCAGTTAAGAGTAAAAATACCATAAGCTGCATAATTCAGTTGTATTTTAAAGTAATGTATAGTTTAGACCAGGGGGTCACCAAATTACAGCCTGCTAGATCAGTTCATTTGACCTGGCACTGCATTGTACCCACAAATAAACTAAAATATAATTATTTATATGAAAATATCACTAATTGTAGATAAACTTACTATGTAAAAAAATTAAAATAGTGTAAGCAAAAATGACCAAATTCATCCAATCTGAATTTGCACCTGACGACTTTTTGCAACTTTTTGTGTAAGTACTTACAACGAAGTTTCTAAGAAAAGCGATTACAAGTATGCTGCAGCAATCGTCTTTTAACTTGCATTACCATGTTTAAAACTATCTTACTGCTAATGTCACCCACCTTCTTTAATAACTTTTTGGTAAATAAATATGTTGGTTGTCTTTATTTTTTGTGTATTCAGTATATTGTATTAAACAAAATGGTTTTGCGACCCGAACTCATCNTCGTCTTTTAACTTGCATTACCATGTTTAAAACTATCTTACTGCTAATGTCACCCACCTTCTTTAATAACTTTTTGGTAAATAAATATGTTGGTTGTCTTTATTTTTTGTGTATTCAGTATATTGTATTAAACAAAATGGTTTTGCGACCCGAACTCATCATTCTCTCAGTTATCTGGCCTGATGTGAAAAAAGTTTTTCCCTTGTTAGTCTAAACCAGTGATTCCCAAACTTTTTCAATTCACCGCTCCCTTTGTTCCATAAAGTTATACCCAATGCCCCTTAACCAATTTTCTTGTGTGTGAGAAAGGATTGGAAATATTCTTAGGAAAACTTTTCTATAAATATCACACTTTGTGCCCTTACCGTACATTGTTCTCAACATCTGGAAACCATTAAACACAATGTTTCCTCTTATCAGTTTAACAGAGGAAAGGAAACGGCTTTCAGTGACCCCAATTTTGTCTTTGGTCACTGTTCAATATCCTACCTCCAGCACCCCTAGATTTACTCATCGCCCACAAAGGGGGCATTATTGCCCACTTTGAGAAATGCTGGGGTCTTATTCTGGTCACCATCTCTGGTCTCTCGTCTCTCACAAGCCGGTCGCTGATTGGCTAATCATTTGGATTAGCCAATCAGAGACTGTCTTGTGAGAGACGAGTGACGGTGACCAGAATATGACCCCTGGTCTAAACTATGAGTCACCAGCACAACATTGGGGTAACAAATTTGATCAAACTCAGTGAGGATGTAGTGTATCCCAATGACTGACAGTGCCAAACAGTAATGTACACTACTCAAAATTAAAGTTGAAAATTGCACAATCACTTGAG